CGCTGCTAAGATCTGAATTGTGTTATGATTGGATATTGTTTCAAGGCCACTGTGAAATTGTTGGACCAAATTACTTGCTGATGTGCCCGCAGCACTCTGTTGCCTTCAACAGGATTACAACAGTTTAGATGGGCACAGAATATAGCCTGTTCCCTTGATGTGATGCAGTACCCTTCTTTCCCATTTCCTGTAATGGTCTCTTAGTCCTTATCTTTATAAGACTGGTCCAGGAATGGCTTGCTGCAGGGATCAGCTATCTCTGCAACACACCCCTTATCCTGACAGCCCCAGGAAGACGCTCTGAGCTTGGAGGGATCTATCTTTGGAACAGGCAGTTGGATGTATTGTTTCATTTCAACCCACTAAGTAAATCAACAGAGGTTTGGGTTGGAGGACTGATCAAAAGTTGTGAACTTCACAGGAAGTGAGGATCATTCAAAACCTCCACGTTTTCTGCTGCGAGTGCAAGGTACGTTTCTGTCTTAACTTGTGTTCTGATGTAGACATGGTCATGTCCATGTGTTTGCATTCCTATACATATAAAACCATTTCCAAGTCATAATGCTCCTGCATATACCATTTCCCTTAGAGGTAATGCTCAGGTAACAGATGTTAGTCACATTGCTTAACTCAGTATGGGTAAGGGGCTCAGATACTGCAGTAATAGACAAGGTATAGAAAATTTCTATAGAGTTTAATTGCCACAGGCTTTATCCATTTACCAAGCTTGTCCCTGTTCTTGTGGAATATTTGGGTCTCCGAGGGGCAGTTGCTAGTGCCTTTGGAGCTCAGTTTGTTGCGTCTCTCTTCTTCCCCCATCTCCATATGGGGATATAGCAATCTCAAGCTTAATAGCAGTTTTCATTAAAAAGATAGATAGACATCTAGTTGTTGAGTAAAGAGCAAGAGACAATGACCTTGACATCAAGGAAACAGGTAGGCACAGTAAGATCAAAATAACGGTGATAACTGGGTGTAAGGAAGCACACACACCCATGCCTGCTCTGGCAAGTTCCTAAGGCAGGGGCGGGCAATTATTTCAAGCAGCAGGCCACTTACTCAGTTTTGGCAGGCTGTTGAGGGCTGCATGGGTAGCTCTGCCCCTTGAAAGGTGCTCCACCCCTTGACAGGTGCCCCTCCCCATGTCACCATCTTGGGACCAGTGTCCCAGGGCCAGCACGGGTGGGGCCAAAAGCAGGGCACAGGCTGGCAGGGGTCTGTGGAGCCAGGCTGGGCTGCACCAGGAGGGAGAGGGGGGAGCTGGCCTGGCTTTATAGAGCCCGTGCGATCTGGGACCCCGTGCTCCTGCCACCCTGCTCTGGGCCCCACCGGCGGTGGCCCCATGCTTCCACTGGCTCCCCACCCACTCACTCCTAGTGCCCCCAGCACTGTGGTACAGGCAGGAGGCAGCACACAGCCCCAACCCCCTGCTCACCAGCAGGGAAGAAGCTGGTGCTCAACGCAGGGAAAAGCCGCACCTCGCCTGCCCCATGGCCAGCGCTCCATGCTGCAGCCACTTGCAGCCCACACAGGGCTGTCTGGAGCAGACACAGGCAGCCCCATGCAGGCTGTGAGAGGCTCCAGCACAGGGTACTGGCCACGGGGCGAGTGAGGGGCCACTTTTCCCCATGCGCAGCACCAGCTTGTAACCCAGCCCTGCTGCCAGCCTGGGCTCCAAGCTGGCTCTGGGCTTGCCTGTTGGTGGCAGCAACTGCAGCCCCCCAACTTGCCGTGCAGAGCAGTGTTGGATGCTGTTGGCTGCCCAGAGCTTGCACACTGGACAGCCCACAGGCAGCAGTGGCAAACACTGCCTGGCACAACAAGTGGGGGGGGGGGGGCCGGAGCTGCTGTCACGACACACAGTCCTGATGGGGCCAGCTTACAAGGTGGCAGCCCCAGGCAGGCTACGAGCAGCTGCAGCGCGGGGTGCTGGCCACAGGGCAGGTGAGGGGCCACTCCCTGCCCCCCGCTCAGCTTTTCCCAGGGCTCCTTCCCTGCCTGGGGGCCTCCCCCACCCTTCCCCCTTATCTGCAGTTCCAACACAGGGCAGCCACATGGTTCCAGGCCAGAAGCCCTGGGTGGGGCTTCTGGCTGTGGGGGCGGGGCCAGGCTGGCCCTGCTGTTGCGGGAGCCCACTGGACTTCCCTTGGGTACTACTGCACATGGTTCCTGTCATTTTTGACAGGAACCAAGGGCAGATAGAGATGAAATTTTCTAAATTTTTTAGGGGGCCTGCGGGCCAGATTTGGCTTGTGGACCGTATGTTGCCCACCCTGTTCTAAGCATACTGAGCACCACCAGAGGGCTCAAACTATTTAAAGGGATACTACTCAGTTTGGGGATGTCAAACCAGCCCATTTTGTGGAACAGTTTTTTTGGGGGGGGTTTTTTTTTTTTTTGGAAACTCAAACAGATGCAATCTGGTTGGCTGGAGGAAAGATGTTACCATTAACTCTTTGTAAAGATTACAGTTATTCATAATCTTTGGCTAGGTGTAGACAAAATGAGAGGCATGTGTGTATGACAGTTTAAAGTGGGCTAAATGCTTTTGCACCACTTTAATTGTGTCAGCGTTTGCATGCCTTGGCAGCGTATCGCATATTAATTCCAGCCGCTGTAGGCAATTCAGTGGTGTAATGCACCTTAAATGACTTGGGACACAGCAAACTAAAAGTCCTTCAAGGAGTTTTAGTTTGCTGCTGTACAGCCACAGAGTGAAGCAGCTCCACCCAAGAAAAGTGGTGAGCTTCTGATCCTTTTTTTTTCTTTCCCCCCTGGAGCCTCCCTGAGCTCCATGGGCACCCAGTGTTTCCCTCTGCAGCTGTGGTGCCCCCCTGGGACCGCCCGAGCTGGGTGTCTGGGGGCAGTGCTGCCTGGGGGGGTCCACTGCTACCACAAAGGGAAGCACCAACCCCCCACTGCAGCCCAGGGACCTCTCTGCCTGCCAGCACCTGGAGAGGCAGGTAAGTCAGTGGGGTGTGTGCATGACACAAAGGTTTAATCAGCCCTAAATTGAAGCGGTGTTTTTTAAAACCCACAGCTTCAATTTAGGGCCCCCATTTCATCTACACATGCCCTATAAAGATATAGAAAAAATCCCTTTATTCTAGTATGAGAGTGCCTTAGAAGTTCTTAAAAGCTATGGACACTGGGATCTCTTTCTTTTTTTTTTTTTTTTTTTGTGGGAAGTCCCAAGTTGGTTTATGGCTTTAGGGGCAACATTACCCAAGCTCCCAATGATGATGTCAACGTCACCACTATCTCCCTAGTGCCTGCATATCTGCTGAGCCAGAGAGGGCCTGATACAAGGCCTGTTGAAGCCAACAAAGAATTTTGTGAGGTTTTTAAGAGGCTTTGTTCAGACCTAGTGTGTGGTTGGCTGGCAATTATAATTCCTGGTTTCTTGTGTTTTGCTAGGAATCAGTATCATTTCAAAGTGCCGTGTACATTTTAGCAGGCATAAGCTATAATTGTTTAGGGGAGGAATTAATGCAGCTGCTATCATATGTAGTATATTAGTAAATACACTCAACTTGAGATGCTCAATTGCTGTTTAAACTAATTTTTTTACACTGGAAAAGATTAGGTGGGCACGTTTCCCACTCAGTATCGTTCAAAGTTTCAGCTTGTGTTTAATTAAGATGAATATTATGTTATGTCTTTCATTTTCAGGTCTGTTAGTTTTTCATTACATTCCTTTTCCAAACTAAAACTAGTTCACAGATTGCTTGATGCCTAGCAGAGTGTACTTTGAAATTTGTACATTTGAAATTTTATTTTAGAAAGCTGTCAGCCCCTCTTCATTAGCTGGAATGTACATTGTTGTCTTTAATAATCACAATCAGTAAATGTGAAAAGTTGGTATGACCTTTCTAGCCAATGTCAATCAAGTTCAGATTATCTGCTTGCACACAAGAATATATCACGATGAAGGTAGGAAGCCACTGCATGCAGATTAAGCTGGTAATTAAACTAATAAGAACTATCCTGAAGATTTCTGTATGAGCTAGTATATTTTTTATTTGAGGGCAACTTATATATTCAAAATATTGTTTTAATTAAGCAGCTGCTATGCAGATGCACCTGATCTCTGTTAAGCTATTTGCACTCATAAATGTTAAAGTTTGACTGTATTAGTGAAATTATATTCATTAATGCAAATTGCATGCAGTTAAAACTCAGTCTTTACTGTATTTATATAAACAGTGTTCATATGGCATGCAGTTATTATGGATGCATTTAGGATTAGAAACGTAATGTAATCTCCTCTACCATTTGTTTGAATATATCTGCTTCTTACAAACTTGGGGGAAAACTGCTTATCAAAGGAGCATTCAGGAATTTCCTTTCTCTTTGGTACTTCTAACAGCAGTCAGACTTCTGTTTTGAGGGGCAGTCATTCTGCATGGGCTTTATATAAGAATGCTGTGTTGGCCTTCTGTTAAAATAAATAGTAAAACTCCCAGAGTTTTGTGGAATCAAGCTGTGGATGCTTTTAAAAAATACCCACTCCCTTATAGGGGAGTATTTATTTTTGATAAAGTGACAAAAATCTAAAAGAAAATAGATATGCAACAGTTTGCTTATATAATATAATATGGTCGGGTATAAATGTTCCAGTTACCATATTTAATGTTTGTCTAAGTGCAGCATGTGAATCATAAATGTCATTAAAAATCCCACATTAAGTTTTTGTGAGGCTGGATAACACAGGTGCTTTTCTTGAACAGTTTGATGGTTCTTTGTATTGCTTTACATTCAGACTGGGAGTGTTTTCCTATCATGCAAATGTAGTCCGTATGCAGAGGACAGTATCTAAGGGCAGATCAAGCTATCACCAGAACCCTAAGGTTTTGTGTCTTCAATTCTGTCACCCTTTTTGCATGTTTTCTTATCCACTATAAACCATACATTGAGAAATTAAAGAGCAGCTGGTGCTTCATCTTCTAATAAAACTGTTTAATACCATGCTTTAATACCTGTTCTTGTGTAATTTTCAGAGCTTGACCCCAGTCTTGCAATGAATGCCACAAGACCCCACATCTACACAGATGTACTGCCTACAAGAACATAACTCTTCTAATGAGGACAGTTCTGCTAAATTTCATGGACTAGGCAACTCCAACATTCTCAGTGCCTGTTACCTGCATGGTGATTACTATTTTCAGGTTAGTAACAGCTCACCACTTTGCTAGAAATTTACAGTTGTCTAATGAAGGGGAAATAATAACATCTCAGGCAAATAGTTATATGACATTAAGTGCCTTTTGTAAGTGGACAACAGTGCTGCCAAAGTTTATCAGCTGCCTTGATTGAGCTTAGGTGATAGCACACCTAAGAAGAATGCAGTAAATACAATCTACATTGATGTTGCATGTCAGTTCGACTCTGTGGGTCAGGACCACCCCTGTGGTCCCCTGAATGAAGGAAAAGATTCTTTGCATCTTTCTCTTTCTAACTGTGCAGCCATAGAAAGTCTGTGTATAATTAGAGCTGTAATTATACTTATTTGCTATTTCCATCAGCTCTGTGCTGGTGCCACTAAAGAGAACATAGAGATCAGCAGAGATCCTGGTTTTCTCTGATTTAAAAAAAAAAAAATCCCCAATTTCAGATTTAAAAAAGTAACCCAAAATCCACATTTTTCCATGATTAAAATCAAACACCACTATATCTATTTATTAGCGGCAATTCATTTTAATCTTGGAAAAATGTGGATTTGGGGTTACTTTTTTTTAACTAAAAAATTGTTGGTTTTTTTGTTTTTTGTTTTTATCAGAGGAAACTAGGATCCCTGGTGATCAGCCTCTTGGACAGCTTGAATTATTATTGTGCTATTGGACTGGGATGCAATAGCTTTAATGGTCTTTCTATTGCCTGCTGGATGTACAACCTTGCAGAATCCTTGAAACATCCCTTTCCAAATCTTGACCATGGTTTAAGAATAACAAAACTCTACCATTAGATAATCCAGCCCATGATTTTCACTCAGCCTTGTACATGCTGGATCAGGATTTGGGGGCAGAAAATGTAGAGGTGATGTGTAAAGTGGTTTGTTTTCAGGTTGGTAACTGAGTGCAAGTAAGACAGTCTAAATCTGGTGGTTTACACTGAATAAGGTGGGGTCTGGCCCATGTGCCTGGGTGGATGAGTCAAGAGACTGCCTTTTCATTGTGAATACCAGACTGTAGCTATGCGTCTTTTTTTTGAAGGAGGAAGCCAGCCCAAATGATATAGGGAAGCACAGCTATAGTTGTGTCTGAAGCCAAATGAAAGCAATCCACAACTGGAGGCATGTTTCACATCCATTGCCCAGTGGCTGCATCCCTGTGCTTCCATCTGCCCATGCAACCACCCATTCTTGGTGTGGGAAGAAACGAGACAAGATGAATGAGAGAGTTCACAGACTCAGGTGACATCAGTTTGTCTTGGGGCAAAGGTTCAGATTCCTTCTTTTTTTAAATCCACTGGGCTTGAAATGCAGTCTTTGAAAAAGAAGTGAGATCTTGACCTTGTTGTATGACTTGGCACTGCTGGCAAAGACTGAAGTGCCAATAATTTGGCTTTGCAACAGCCCTTCCCTCCCCAGCACTTTTCGAACAGGGAAAATGGTAATGCTGTTCCATAGGGTATTGGAGCCTGCACATTCCTGCTCCTCTTCACTGAGATGCTTAGGTAGGATCCATTGTGCTAATCCCTGCCAAAGCTCTGCCTGAACAAGCCTGGCTCTACCCCACACCTGCCACAGCACTTGTCTTGAGGATTGCAACAGATACAACAGCAGTGAAGGGCCTGAAGCAACAGCACTCTTTGTTCTGTCTTCTGGGATTGCTTGCAAAGGCTCTGCACCTTTTCTGTGGGGCACCTTCCCCGGGAAGATGGTGCTGAAGAAGTAATTTCATGGCCCTGCTTTTCCTTCTCTCTAGCCTGCCAGCACAAAGGAGGGAGTCATCTTCATTACAGATGGATGGGAAGTAGAGGCTTCTTCCTACATGTGCACAGAGTAGCAATGACTGAATATGCTTCTTCTAGGTGCAGACTCTGTGGTGCACCTCCTAGGATGCTACATGCCTCTTCAGAGGTCCCTACTCTGGGATGGAGCTTAAAAGCCCTCACTGCAGCAGTTCCTTTTCTTTTGACAAATTTCTCCTCCAGAGCAGAGAGCCTGATTAGGCTGTTAAAAGTAGAAATGAGTGATTGGTCTGGCAAATTGATCTAGACCCTCTCAAGTAAGTCTGAATTTTCCATCTTTTCTACAGCTCAGGATGGAGTTTGATCATTAAATGACTCCTCCTGCCCTTGAGAAATATGACAGCTGGCTTTGAGATTCCTTTCCATCATTGGTCCTCTTTTGTAGCAGCACATTAGCCACTATATTTTCAAAGCAGTGTGCAGAGATGCAGCCACATCACTTCAGCTAATAACAGCAGAAGCACAACCAAATCCACACCTACACCTTTGAAAACTTGCCCCTTGCTGTCTCGGGGTTAGCTGTAGAGAAATATCATTTATTTTTAGCTGATCATATTATCTTCTGCAAGCCACTTCTGTATTGTCAGGAAAACAATATTTCTACTCTTGTGGTATGCCTCCACTTAGATGATTCATGGGTGTGAAATCTCTGAATTATCACTCATATCACTGAAAGTTATAAAACTTGCAGCTTTGGATTAAGTGAATGTTCATGTCAGAATGTGTTTTGGCATAGTTACAAGGAGGTGGGGAGAAACCGATCACTGAGCCATTAAAATGCAGATTCCTGTTTGTTTGTGCATTCTGTAGTGAGGAAGCCAAGAACAATAAATGGATCTGCTGCCACCCTTTCAAAATATCATCTGGAATGAAAAGATGGATGGCCATGAATCAATCATAAGAAATTAAGGGTAGATATTGTTTTAGAATTTGTAGATCACTTGGGACCGTTCTAGGCAAGAAGGTGTCAGAAATGCCTATAACCATTTGTGCTTCACTTATACAGCTAGATAGATGAGACTTTGGAAAGAGTCCCAAGTGGGATGGGTAGGTTCATATTTTAGCTATGGACCTCCTGAAGATGCAAGTTTAAATCTTAGTAGGCACCACAAACAAAGATGTATTTGGTCTCATCTGCAGTATTACTTCCCATTCACATGTGACAAAGCCATCTCTCAGTTCTATAGGAATGCTGTACCTCTTAGCAAAGAGCTTCACACCAGGTTTTCTCTTTTCCCTGATCTTTAGAGACTGATTCAAAAATTTGCCTTGTAATCCTGCCTTCTCCAGAACTTGCATTAAGAGCTGCATGGTAGAAGCCATTTCAGGCGCCTAAAATGTGCACAGAATTGTGAACAATGCTATGTGATCTTAGAGATGTTGCTATTCTTTCTATTAGTCTGCACGAACACACAGATTACTGTCTCATACTCTACACAGTCCCAACTCCTGTTCTGTGCAGAAACCAGGGGCAGGCTCTACTATCCCTTGTCTACTAACATGCTACTCAGCCAAACTGGACTGCTGCAAAGGGCTGAGCTTGTTAAGTTCCTAGAGTTGTGCACGTGCTGGGTGCCGCAACATGCTCTGTGCTTGGCTAAGATGCAATACTACCTAGGGCTCTGGTGAGCATAGTGCAGTTCCCAATGCAAGCTAGTGCTTGAGAGACCTTTTATAGCCTGGTATTTCCTTTCTGAAATTTCATTAAAATCCATTGAGTGGTGCACATCTGCTTCTGGAATCCGTGAGAACAGCTAGGAAATATATTTTGGAGAAATGGGGTGGGAAAGAGAATAAATGTATATACCTTCTCCTTCTCAGTAATCCATTAGACTAGAACTATTTATTTACAGGGGTAAGGTCTCAGACAGTGTAGCAACTTTCTTTGGGGAAAAAATAGTTTCCTAAAGAAAGCCAATTGCAATTGTCTGGATGATTTGTGGAGTTGTGTTTGCAGTCCCCAAGTTGCAGTGCAGAGATGAGGGGAGAATTATTTTTTTTCCCCATGTTTCTGGCCTCAGCTGGTTGCCACATGATGCCAGGTAGAAATTGCCATGTATGGCAGGTTTAAGGTTTGTTTGGTTTTTTTTTAATTTCACCATCCCCAAAAGCATTGGATCTTGGCTTCAGGCAAGGTTAGGGGTTTTGAGTGTGGTATGCTGATGTTTCTGTTGGGACTTAACCTTCCCCGCCTTCCCTACCCCTGCCCCCCCCCCCCCC